TATATATATATATATATATATATATATATAGAGGCAATTGTGGAAAACGAGGACGGACAACTTCGAGCGAAAAAAAAATATATATACAGTAAAAAATCTAAGAAATCTAAAAAAAAAAAAAGTTTAAAAAAAGCTGGCTTTAAAAGTTGCAGGCACTGCAACTGATGAAGGTCTTTGACCGAAACGTTTATTTTTATTAAATTTTTAAACTTTTTTTTTTTTTTTAGATTTCTTAGATTTTTTACTGTATATATATTTTTTTCGCTCGAAGTTGTCCGTCCTCGTTTTCCACAATTGCCTATTATATATATATATATTACTATAGTTGCATTTCTCAGAAAGAAACCTTAATTTGTCTTCTTTCCCTTCTATTAGGAGCATATCGACTCATCAAATCCCTCAGCTTCACCAGATTCCCATCCACTGGAAATTCCCAAAGAGCTGTGGCTTCTAACAGATCACTTATTCAACTTTGGCATGCGCCAGGTGAGACAAATCGTGAGTGCTACACGATGGAGCACGTAAGACAATCTTGCTAACATACTACTCTTGGTTTCCCTTCAGGAGAACATTCTCAGGCAGTCTGGATTTGAGAGAGATTTGGAAGCGATCAGAACACATTTAGATTGTTGCCGTGGTGGTAAACTGCGTATCCTTCTGGTGTTTTTACTTGTAATTTTATGCCCACTTTTTCCAATTGTTTTATCTTGTTTCAGGAATGTCACATTCAGTATGTCTTGATTCTACCAAACACAATTAACTACAAACATTTGAAGGCTAATGTAAGGAAGCAATCTTTATTCTCGTTCCTCAATTTACATTTTTTTAATTAGACTGGCCCGCGGATAGCTAGTGCTAGTGTAGGCGGGCCAGTGGCAGAGGAGGGGCTACAAGTGCACCGCCTTAGCCACTAGGCCTCGCAGGTCACGTCGCATTATTAAAAGAATCGAAAATTTGTATTACCGTCTGTTTTGCCGGGTTTTGTACTCCTCCCCATATTTTTTTTTTTCTGTAGCAAGTTCCAGTCTTAACGCCCCTTCTGTGGTATTATTTAGTGGCTTCCTTTGATTTGAGGGTAATTCTAAATATCCCCAAAAATGATCATATAACCACAAAGCCATTTTGCCATCCACGTTTTATTGCACCTAGCATGATGTGGTTATAGTTCCTTGACGTGTTCCAAGCTGGCAGTATTTACTCCGTAGCAGAAGCTTTACTTATTTTTCTAGAAGCCTTACCTGAACCCGTGATTCCTTATGCATTTTACCAGAGAGCTCTTGAGTGCTGTAATAACTACATGCTTTGCAAACAGGTAAGATTTGACATGACTCGGCATTTCACTAGGGTTCCTAGTTTTTTATTGGACGAGTTTCGTCTCCTGCGAGATGTTCCTTACCAGACTGCCCTCAACTGGCTAATCGCTGGCCGATTTTGTTGTTGTTGTGGTTATTGTTTTTTTTTTTTGTCAGCCCCATACCCCACTCGAAGTGATTTCACCAACTTAATCTTCAGAGCGGCTTCCAATTGCGTGTGGTAAGACCAAAACCAAAATAAGAAGTAAATTAAATGCTTGTACTTGACGCGAAGCGCAGGAAGACGTGTGCGAGCAAGTCCGATGGGCTTTGGTTTTTACTTCTGATTGGATGAAAAAGCAGCGTGTCTTTTAAGCCAATTGTGTAGTGCAGTAAGGCGAAACAAATTACTTCTCGAAACAAATGTATGAACAAGAAATTTGTTCTTTAAAAGGTATATATGCAGGAGCCATGCATTATGGCTTGTGTAAAGAAGATTCAAGGGCTGAATGACAAAGGAGATGAAACTGACTTAGAATTCCTACTTATTGTAACTAGGGTTAAACCTGCACTAGCGACCACCTCTCTACAACAGCCACTTTTTTGTCCCGGCGGAAGGCCCATACACTCACTTCTATTTTAACCTCTCCACAACGGCATTGGCCACTAAAGCGCGCCCCAACTGCTAAAATAACCCCTCGACAGCGGCCAGTTGATCAATGGTCACTTTTTCGTCCCCAAGGTGGCCGTTGTGAACAGGTTCGACTGTACTGCTTTTGGCCGTGTGGCCTCTCTTGTTGTCAAAACATTGTCTGATATTGCATGTTGTTGGTGGGTGTTCAGGTAGTTTCTTTAAAGTTGGTACAGACAAGTTTCTGTCATTTTCTCATGTATGTATTTTCACTTGCAGTTGATATTCCAGATGCCTCAAAGCCACCAGAATGTGTTTACGTATATTAGTTCATTCCTGAGAGAGCTGTTACTGCACTCTAACGATAATAAACTGGACGCCAAAACTCTGGGTAAGTCGAATCATTTTCATCAGTTTACAAATCGTTCTACTTGCTCGCAGGCACGCGCTCTCGCGCGCACCTATACTCCCTCGCATGCATAAACCCACTTATTCATTACCTTGCTTCTCCTCAGAGCCCTCAATGACTGTGCTTTATTAACCTAACTGGAAAATCGACGTTATTCCCATTGTTACCCACAGAGGAATTGTATGACCATTAAGTATCCAAGGTCAATCATGTTTTATCTCTAACAAGCTGTTTTATTGACTGCAGCCACCTTATTTGGTACCCTGTTCTTGAGAGCACCGAAAAAGAAGGAGGCAGGCCTTAGCAAGAGAAATGTCAATCAGCTGACCCAGAAGAAAGCACGTTTCATGTATCATTTCCTCGTCAACGAATTTGGACCTGACTAAGCCTACGATTATTATGATGATCACTGGCAGCTAGTATTTTTATATAGAGTATCCCATAGCCTTTTAGTAATTTAAGTTTTGCATCGAGGAAAGGATTGGGTTGGACCATGAATTTATCTGGCCAGTGAGGTTTAAACATGAAGTCAAAAGCCTGTGCTTTACTCAATTGTTAAATACAGTCCGACCCCGCTAATTCGAACTCGGTTATTCTTTAATTCCCCGTTATTTCGAACTCAACTTTTCATTTCCCCTGGATATACCCTTCAGTCGGTAAACTATCGGCTGTTTCGAATTCTCGCTATTTCGGACTACAGTTCGACCCCGCAAATTCAAACTTGGCTATTTTTAATTCTCTGTTATTTCGAACTCAATTTCATTTCCCTTAAATTCGCCATTCAGTCAGTTTACTATCGGCTATTTCGAACTACTGTGCTTTTCGTTTTCCCTAAGAATTCGAAATAGCGGTATTCAACTGTATTGGGAAGTTTTACTGTAGTTTTAATTCGTCTTTATTTGCTTAGTGTATAAAATACTTTTATTAGTTGATGACGTCATCGTTCTTTTTACGTTGTTTCAGTTCGTATGAGTTTGTAATATCAGCACAATGACTAACAGTGGTTGTCTATATTTTAAGCGCACGTGAGTTAAGTCTTGGTATTACAGAAAACTGTTACTATCAACAGGTTGGTAGTAAATAACAGTCATAAGTCTCTTGGTTAACACAAGGCCGTTCTGCGTTTCCCTTCGTTTCTTGGTTCGTTTTTGATTCACTACCACCGCTATGTCCAAAAAAGTACTACAGTAGTAGTAGTTGCGTACTGTTCAGCGTATTCGATACATATGTGCATCATGTAGTCTTGTGTGTATTTACCCATGCATCCTTGCGTGTTGTTATTTTTTAGCTTCCTACTTCTCTAGCTCCGCTTAGTGGTGGCATTTGTCACCTATAAACTGATTGACACTAACTCAGTTCTCAAGTTCGCGTGTCGTCGTCAGCCTTCAGAATTCGACCTGCGTTCCCGCGTTCACTTTGAGATCGTGATTTAGAATTGCTATGGGAGGGGTAGAATGGGTTAGGAATATCTCGTTCTGACAATTTTATTTATTTCCAGGAATGAAAAAAAA